AGGAGTGAGGGCGCCTCGCTGGGCGGTGCGGGGGGAGCGGGGAGGGGGGCCCGGCCGCCGTTCGGGGATATTCAGCTTTAAGTTTTTGTTAAGTCTTCGTTTAAGCCCTGCAGTTCCACACCGAGATCCAGCGCGGGTGGATTAAGTTGCGCTCGGGGCCTTGCAGGTGCCTCGGGCGCAGGCAGTCTTGCTGCCAAGACGGTCAAAGTGTTTCTTAAATTAACCTTTGCTCTCACGTCGCGTGAAAACGTGGCGGCCGAGGGCTCGGGCACCGAGGCTGGGGTAGTGCTGCCTTGGCGTAGCGCTGATTAGTGCAGTCTTTAGCTGATTTTATTTGAAAGGTGTGTTTTATAAAGGTGAGCTATTTTCAAATACTCTCCCTACCTGTGACTCTTTGGTTGAAAAATCACTTTTTACTTAGTTAGAGATAATTTGCTAGGGAAACGATGTTATTTTTCTCCCTTAATCCTTTCAGAAGCTTTATGACGAGTAGTGTTAACAGGGTTTGTTTAATGGTGAATGAACAGTGTGCTGTGGGAGCCTGAGTTGGTGGCGATGTCCATGGTGGATATGGAAAAAGAAATCGCTGCTGTTGGTTGTTTTTCAGATTTCACGGAGATGATGAGGGCGCTGGGGTATCCCCGACTCATTTCTATGGAGAATTTTCGCAGCCCAAACTTCATGCTAGTTTCAGAGGTGCTTCTCTGGCTAGTGAAAAGGTTGGTGATTAGGCTAATGAATGTCGAGACTGATGCTGGGATGTGACATTTGCATTTGGAGCTGATGTTTTGATGTGAAATCGTATTAAGATGCCTAAAGAAGAACTTAAAGAAACTGAAAGAGAGTGCTACTGTTTTGAGGGAGCTACTGTTCCGAGTATCAGGTAGGAAGTAGGTATTTAAGCTCGCATTTTAAGCGTCTGACCTGTGGCTTCAATAGTTTGCGTATATCATGGATATCGCTGTGCTTTTTCAAAGAAGCCAACAATGGTTAAACCAAAGGAATGACACAAGCAATAAAGAAAGCTTTTTTCTTCGTTTCCTTTCTCTGGCTACCAGTGGTAGCTTCCTCTCTTCTGAGACTATGTAGTCCACAGCACAGCTTGAGCCTTGCTTTGGCGGTATTAAATTCAGGCAGTACAAGACTGAGCTATTTTCATTCAAAATCGTTTGTGGTGTTTGAATGCTCTGGAAGCACTCCTTGAAAATAAAGTGAGGTATATCACATCTCCCTTTGCGCAGAGCATGGCCCTTCTGACACTTCAGAAAACTTTGACGCAGTAAAGTCCTAACTCAGACTTCCAGATCTGGTTCTTACTTAGACGTCAGTTTAAAATAGTTTTCAAACTGGAAGACAAGATTAATGTTTGGAACGCACAGTGGTAGCTTTTTGCTAGTGTTCTGCAGTGACAGATACAATAGTGACTCGGCACTGCAAGGAACCCTTCATGGCCACATCACTCTGGATTTGAGTAATGTTTCAGTAGGGGTAAAGTGAAATTATCAAATATTCTGGTTTTTCCATTTTTATTATGTTAGCTGGAGTGATCGTTTCTTTGGCTTTTAATCAATGAAAAGGGTATTATAATTGTATTAAGGGTATAATTAAGGGTAATTGTATATAAGGGTATTCTACTCTTTTGTGGTTTTGTCCCATTATTAAGCTGCTGAGTGTGTACCCTGTCTTCCTATTGAAATGTGATGCAGTGTTCTTTCAGCTCTTTAGTTTAATTATAGAAGCCTAAAAATGTGTGAAGTAAAAAATAAAATGATTCAGTCCTGGCAGAGATTGCCTCCTGAAGGTGGATATATTTATTGCTCAAGTGTAGCTCTGTCCCTCAGTCCTGTGTTCTACAAGCTCAGTTATCATCCTTGCTGTATCTGATCTTGTACCCTAAACGAGATGGTATACAATGAGAATTTCTCAGGATATATTTAGTTCTTACTTTGTAATCAGAATTATTGTTTCAACCTGGTAGCGTGTAGCATTCATGCTATGTTTAAAAAAAAATCCACAGGACTAATCTGCAACTATCAAGATGTGGTTTTATGTCCACCTAACCTATTTGACAGACTTTATTTAAATAATTACGAAATTTGATGTGCTGATTAAATTACACATAATCTTCTTTCACTCATGTATATGGAAAAATAAAATACTTTAATTTTTAAACTACTCAGTGTAGAATATTACAATGAAAAAATGTGGAAGTGATCCATTTTTCAGACTTTTTTTTTGGCCTGGATTTATAATTAATCTCCATTAAGTTTAATTTCTCTTCCATTATATGTTTACGGAATACTATCACAAGTGGCAAGAAATAAAATAAGGGAATACTTAAACCAGTCAAAATTACTTGGATTAAATTACCTAATATTCTTTAAAGTACTGCTGTTAATAACAAGGGTCTAAATTACTTGCTGTTTCCATCTCATATTTAAAAATGAAAATCAGTATCCCTCCGTAATATACAACAGCAACACAAGAGAGCAATTAAAAGAAAATAAAAATGTTTTTTTTTTAAAAAAACAACACTGTTTTTTTAATGCACCTGAACACTTTCAAATCTTTAATTTTCTGTTTTACAAGATTACTAGGAGCCCTATGCCTATTAGTGAGGTGCTTCACTCCAAATAGCAGACTTCAGACCAAATAGCAACAAAACACTAGATTTTTGTTTCTGTTGCAAGTCAGATCTGCACTTAATGCCAACAGACAGCTTTTCCTGCTTCTAGAAGCCTTTTAATTGTACTTTAAAACCAAGAGGCTAATTTGCACTTGACTTGCTCTTAGTCTCAAATGTGATTTAAAAGTGAAGGTGCTATTTTGTCTGTGCAAATTGAAAATCTCAAAGCCTTTTATTAGACTTAGGGAATTTGCTTGCTTGCTTCTTCCCTGGTTCCTGTTGGCTGGTGATTTCCACTCTAGAAGTTTCTTTATCTCACTAGCAGCTTTTAAAAAGCATTTCACAATCTTTCAAGTTGAAAGACATTATAAA